AGTCCCACCCACTCCTCCCGGTCCTTAGGTTAAATTTTCCCTCCCTCTTGCTATACCTATCATGCCCAACAACCCCCTTCCCTTTTTTATTTTAAAACTTTAGAATCTACACTACCCAAGGATGCTTCCACGTAAGTTGCAGCTTTCCTGGCCCTGTGGTTCTTGAGAAGAAGGTTTTTAAAGATTTGTTCTATATTTTCCTATGTAAAACTTGGAATTCCCTATTGTGGCCCCGCCCTACCCCAGGGGTCATGATTTTAACAATTTAATATCTACACTACCAAAGGATGCTTCCATATAAGGAGAAGAAGATTTTTAAAGATTTGTTCTATATATTTCTATGTAAGATATGTACACTATATATACACTATATATTTCTATGTAAAACTTGGATTCCCTATTGCAGCCATGCCCTACCCCCGGGGGTCATGATTTTAAGAATTTAATATCTACTCTACTCCAGGATGCTTCCACAAAAGTTTTAGCTTTCCTGGCCGAGTAGTTTATGAGAAGAAGATTTTTAAAGCTTTGTTCTATATATTTCTGTGGAAAACTTGGATTCCCTATTGTGGCCCGCCCTACCCCGAGGGTCATGATTTTAACAATATAATATCTACACTACCCAAGGATGCTTCCATATAAGTTTCAGCTTTCCTGGCCCAGGGGTTCTTGAGAAGAAGAGTTTTAAGTATTTGTTCTATAAATTTCTATGTAAAACTTGGATTCCCTATTGTGGCCCTGTCCAAACCCTGAGGGTCATGATTTTAACAATTAAGATATCTACACTTCCCAAGGATGCTTCCACACAAGTTTCAGCTTTCCTGGCACAGTGGTTCTTGAGAAGAAGATTTTTAAAGATTTGTTCTATATATTTCTATGTAAAACTTGGATTCCCTATTGTGGCCCCGCCCTACCCCCGGGGGTCATGATTTTAACAATTTGATATTTTCATACCCAAGGATGCTTCCACATAAGTTTCAGCTTTCCTGGCCCAGTGGTTCTTGAGAAGAAGATTTTTTAATGACCCCACCCTATTTTTGTCTTTTCTTGATTATCTCCCCTTGTAAGTGGAATTGGCCCTTCATCTTAACAATTTATACTTCCCTTAACCCAAGGATGCTTTGTACCAAGTTTGGTCAAAATTGGCCCAGTGGTTCTTGAGAAGAAGTCAAAAATGTGAAAAGTTTACAGACGGACGGACGGACAGACAGACAGACAGACGGACAGACGGACGGACGGAGGACGGACAAAATGTGATCAGAAAAGCTCACTTGAGCCTTCGGCTCAGGTGAGCTAAAAAGATTAATTTATACTGGGCAATCTTTAAAATAATGTTTGTTTGCCCTCTCCTGACTAAGGGCATAAAAATTGGGTCAGTTCGGAAGTCAGTTGTGAAGGAAAAAATTATTCTGGAATAATTTCAACATTCTTGTTGATTGAGACAGTTTGAAAATTCATAGAAGAAACTATCATTTTCACAGGTTAAAAAAAAGTTTTGGGTCATTTTTAGCTAGTTGGTTGGGAGAGGGCAAACATGCAGTCATACTGTGATACATACCAAGAATTGACCTGAGATGACCCTCTAATGTCTGCAGAATGACTGATTCAACATGATGGACACTTTTCCCCAGGAACTGTTCACAGGCAGTCTTCAGAAGCTCGGGTTCCTTCATGATCTTGACCTGGGCGACCCCTGTCACAGTAACTGGCACACCCTCAGAGGTCTCTACACTCTCACACACAGGGTTCAAGGTCATGACCTCTAAGGATATCCTGAAATAATTTTAAGATTTGTATAATTTGAGAGTCTACTTTTTAACTTAATTCTGATGAAATGATTTAATCTGACTTTAACAATTGTATTTTACCATTATCCAGACTGGTATGTGATCATGGTGATGGAGAAAATTTTTTGTACATACAAATATATATACTAAGATCATGGTCTAATAAAAGATTTAAACTACAACATATTTATAGCCGGGCTTATTGCTCAAAGAGCAATTGCCGGCTACTGTCAGCCTGTTCAAGGCAGGATGTTGACCCAATAGTTGCCAAGTTAAAGATACATGTAATTTAACATTCTTGTCCCAGTAACAGAAATCTATCCTTCATTTTAGGTTAGTGATATCACATTACCAGTAGTAACTGTTGTTTTGTTAAATGTCTTACCTTATTACATGTTAGTGATATCACATTATCAGTAGTTGTTATGTTAATATCACATTTATCAGTAGTTGTTATGTTAATATTACATTATCAGTGGTTATGTTAAATGTCTTACCTCTGAACATCGGTCACTAAACACCATGACCAGCCCCATCCTCCAACAATGGTTTTCCTCCCCTGGGAGCCACAGCATCCTCCTGTTTTATAATAATTATAGGATTTCAGTGTTTTGAAGTTTAATCTTAAATTTACTTCACAATTAAGTGATACAGGATTCACAAGTGTTAGGAATGAGTGAATATATAAGAAAAATCTGTCTTACTTAATTGTACATTGAATTTTCTGATTATTACAGTAATACTCTTTGTGAAGGGAAGAAAAATCTGGAGTTTTGAAACATTTCAAGTATTTTTTCACTCTGTCACAGAATCATGAGAATATTCAAGTTTGATATTCTTTCCCACTGTGACAAAATAACAATTTTTTCAATAAATAAATTAGAGTATTTCAGTTTTTCAACTGTATCCAAGCTTAACATTTGTCATGGACATTTTTTTAAAATAACCATGACAATATACATGTACAGTTAATTCTCGATAAACCGCCACCTTTTGTAATTTAGAAATCATGGCGGTATAACGAATTTGGCGATGAATTGAAATTTCCCATCGTTTAGGAAACCAGAAGTAGAGTTACCGTTCTGAGAAATACCATTTCGCGTTTCTATTCTCATCATTACATGTACATATAAAAACATATTTCTAAACTTTAAAATACTTCAAGTAATTTTTCATGTACAATTTCGCTAAAACAAAATGTGCAGTTATGAAATAAAGACAAATACATGTGGATGCATGTAAATCTGCACGACTGATATTGAAAAAAAAAAATGCTGGGTCGAACGTCGTGATATATTGTCGATAATACGTAAAATGAATTCTTGAATAAATTCATTGTTTATAAGGCATCATCGTTAATAAAACGTTCACAATTTATACCGTATAATTATTTTTAAAGCAAATTTTGCATTGTTTAAAGCAGAGATCATCAAAATAACATTATCTGTCTTCTTAAACAACGACCGCTTTCGTGGCAAAGCCGTCACTAAATGATTTTTATTAAACAGAAAACAAAATTATCATAACAGTTCATGTTAAATTCATTGTTTATTTAATTCTTATTTAATAATTTAATTGCATGTACCTTGCCTGGCTTTGCATGCTTTACAACAGGGATAGCGTCAACCAATTAGCCGCGCTTCACTGATCGCATGCACCTGTGGCGGTATATCGAGATAATTGACACTTAAAAATGGACGTTCGTTGTGAAAACAGGGTGGCGGATGGCGGTATGCGAATTTGGCGTTATAAAGAGAATTTTATATAGCAGGAAAAACGTTCTTGGCAAATCATGGCGGTATTGCGAGAATGGCGATGAATCGAATGGCGATAATTCGAGAATTGACTGTAGTACATGGAAATGTTTAATTTTGATAATTCCTGAAGGGATTTCAAAGTTAATAATTTTCAAAGGTTTAATTTAAAAATATTTAAGTCTTCTTCTTCCGGTAAAGTGAAGGGCCGCTGCTGCGGCATATTCTCACTATGTTTAAAAGCGTGTACGTGAGGGGGAGTCCACGCATCTATTTACAATATTAAAAACTGATAAAAACGTGTCCTGCATGATTTATGGTGTTTTATATCCCTGAATCCTGGTCTTAAAGGACTCCAGGGACATGGCCGTGATGGTGTTTTCTGGCAGCTGGTTCCATATCCTGATGGTAGTAGGAAAGAACGATTCCTTGTAGACGTTGGTACGGCAGAATGGGATCCTGTACCGGTGTTGGTGTCCCCTGGTGGCTGCTCCTGTTTGGCTGAATTGTGGGGGCAGGTCTATGGCAACAAGGGAATGGACAACACGGTACATCATAATAGCCTTTGCTTTAATTCTGCGTTGTTGTAGACTTTCCCATTCTAGCCTGTCGATCATCGTTGTGACACTACTGGTGGTGTTGTAGTTATTGGTCACGAACCTAGCTGCCCTTCTCTCTGCACAGCTTCTAGTTTGTCGATGTTTTTCTTTGTGTGAGGGTCCCAGACAGTGGATGCATATTCTACCTGGGGTCTGACCAATGTCTTGTAACACTTGTCCTTGATGTTGCTGGGACAGGACGAGAGGTTCCTCCTTAAAAAGGCAGTGGTGTTGTTTGCCTTCTTACATACACTATCAATATGATGGTTCCACGATAGGTTGTTGGAGATGTTGACCCCTAGGTACTTGGCCTTGGTGGTAGTGGCTAGCTCCTTCCCATGGATGTAATATGGGGTTATGCGTTGCTTCCGTTTGGTGGTGATACGGATAACCTCGCACTTGTCTGGGTTGAAATGCATTAGCCAGTCTGTTTCCCAATCTTGGAGGTTGTCAAGGTCCGTCTGGAGTTGTCTGGCATCCGCCTCTGTAGTGATGGTCCTATACAGAAGGCAGTCGTCCGCGAATAACCTGGCCTTGGACCTCACTCTGGAGGGTAAATCATTTATGTATGTCAGGAATAGCAGTGGGCCGAGGACTGTTCCTTGGGGCACTCCAGATGTTACCGGTGCGGTTGGTGAAGAATGGCCCTCGACCAATACCTTTTGTGTTCGTCCGGACAAGAAACTCCTGATCCAATTGAGTAGGCTGCCTCGTACCCCGTAGTGGTCTAGTTTGGCTAGCAATCTCTCATGTGGGACCTTGTCAAATGCTTTGGAAAAGTCCAGTAGCACTGCATCGACCTGGGTGTTGTTTTCAATACTCATGGCGAGGTCCTGGATTGTTGTTATTAGTTGGGACTCACAGGATCGCTTCTTCCTGAACCCATGCTGGTAGTCGGTTAGGATACTGTGATGCTCGAAGAAATTCATCAGGTGGCTGTGGATGATGTGCTCTATTACCTTGCAACACACAGAGGTCAGGGACACAGGACGATAGTTTGCAGGCTTGCTCTTATCACCCTTCTTGAATATAGGCGAGACATTAGCGGTTTTCCAGTCCTCAGGTGTTTGACCTTGGTCAATGGATGCCTGGAAAATCTTGGTGAGTGCTGGTGTAACAGGGTGAGCCATCTCTTTCAGAAATCTAGTGGAGATCTCATCCGGTCCAGTCGCCTTATTGGGGTTGAGTCCTTGCAGGAGCTTCAATACGCCCTTCTCTGTTACTCTAATGTCAGGTGCCGATGGGGTGGAACTAGTGCCTAGGGATGGAATATCAGATGTATCCTCTGTGGTGAACACTGACGAAAATTGTTGGTTCAGGAGAGAGGCTTTAGTTTGTGGATCTCCATGAAGGTTTCCGTCAGATCGAAGTGGGGCGATCCCAGCACTGTCACACTTCTTACCCTTAATGAAGGAGTAGAGTTTCTTACTGTTGGAATCCTCCTGCACCATGTCTGATACGTACGAGTTATAGGCACTTTTGCATTCATGTTGGGTTGATTTCTGCAGGCGCCTGTATCTCTGTCGATCCTTATCCTTGCCTGATCTTTTATATGTGTTGTAAGCTCTTCGTTTTCGTCTTGACAGTTGCTTGATCTTTCTGTTACACCATGGCTGGTTAAATCTACTTGAAGTCCACTTGGTTGGTACGTGCTTCCTGATGGTGTTGAGGCAGACTGTCTTGAAGGTGATCCAAAGGTCATTTATGGGGGTGTCATGTGTAGAGCCATCAAGGAGGTGTGCCAGGTCGTTGTCAAGGTCTTCTGCCATCTTCGTTGTGTTTGCTTTCCTCCATAAGTGGATGAGGCGTCTGACCGGTTTCTGTCTGGAAGGCACTATGTTTGTGTCGATCATGACCATGTCATGGTCACTAAGGCCCGGGCAAGGTATGCACCTGTTTAATAAGGAGGGGCGATTTGTGATGAAGACATCTAAGGTGTTGGTACCTCTGGTAGGATAGTCTACCATCTGCTCGCCTCCAATGTCAAACACAGTGTTGATAAAGGTGGTGTTGATACCTGCTGGGTTATGTTGGGTAGAAGTGCTGGAAGACTTCCAGTCGATATCGGGCAGGTTGGCATCGCCTCCAATCCATATGACTGAACCTTGATATTTCCTGGCAAGATTCTTGACAGCTGAACACAATTCCTCTATGTATTCCATTTTACTGCTTGGTGGCCGGTAAATTGAACCAATGATCAATGGGTCTTTAATGTGTTTGCAGGTGATCGAAGCTGCTGTAAATTCGGTGGTGGTATCTGTATCTACCTGGACCCCAGCAATGTTGGATTTGGCTATGATTGCTACACCTCCATGTGGGTCGCCTAGTCGATCCTTCCTGGCAAGGAACTGGTAATTATCTGGGAGAACTTCCTTTTCCATAATTCCCTCGTGTAACCAGGTCTCTGTGGCGATGATGATGTCAGGATCAGTATCCGATAGTAGATTCCAAAGAGACTCTTTTTTGGCTTTAATGCTTTGGAAGTTGATGACTATGACGCGCAACTTTCTTTTGTCAAACTCGTGCTTGATGGCTCTGTTAGAAGCTTGTGGTGATGACGTGTGTTGGGGTGGTCCAACTGTGTCAGGGTCGAAGTCAGAGGCTATGGAAATATGTGATGAGTGTGACGGCGTGCCACAGCTATTTTCCATGCTGGCAAAATCTATGTCCTCGAAGAGGCTAGTATTGAAATTTGGGAGCCCACATTGGCAACAGTACCAACTTACGTCTGTTTTACTAAAAGCTTCATAAACACAGGTGTTCATGTTAAGACATTTCCTGTGGAACCATAATTCGCAGTTGTTACATGCTATGGAGTGTACATCTTTAGACCATTTACAGGCTTTACCACATATTTGGCATGGAAATTTTGGTGGTCTGGGTCCTGGATTAGGGTGGCAGTCATTAGCATTTAGCATGACAAGACAAAATAAATACAAAAGGGCTGGCCTTTCGAAACACTTTTTAGGTGCCATTTTGAACTGATGTTTCTCTACAGTACTTACTGGGCATGTGAAAATGCTGGCACATATATGAAAATTATGAATATTCACTGACCTCACAAGTATAAGAACTTGTGAGTTGTATCAAAGTACCCCATTCACACATGTATGATCATCATACTATGATGCTTCAGTTAAAAATTTGCCTATTTTCGATCTGCCGCACCATGTGAACAGGTGAATGATAATGCTGCACCGACTCTGACCGAGTTACTACGACGTAAAACTAAAAGTGGTCACGTTATCAGGTTGCTAATTAGTTGTAAATAGTGAGAATAATAAGTCATAAACAAAGACATTGAGAATAGCAATTTATGCTTGGGTTTAAGACCAACGAAATGCAGCTGCTGAATGGGCTGGGTCATTGTAACACAATACCGGAACTGCATTCATCATGGCTATCTCACTGAGTATGTCGACAATGTAGCATTCAAAATTTGCAAATTTGAGAAGCCTAAAAATAAATTTACCTGAAATAATTAGTGCTTCATTTGGTCCAACAGTGTTTATGTTCCCCATCTTCGACAATCTTCGAGGTATTGCTCAAGATGAGACTATTAAGCAATGTAACTGACAATATTTTGGTTATTGTGAAATCGGGTCGCGCAAAGTAAATGTCGAACCGAAATGGATAAGATCCGGATAAAAGCAAGACTTCAGGGTACGTGTCGAGTGGTTACATGCATGGGCGTAATTAAACACACGCAAGTACCAGCCACAGAGCATCGTTTATGAAAGGGGGAGGGGGGGGGGGGGCAGCCAGAATTTTTTTTTTCTTATCTGAGAAAGTTGACAAGCAAAAAAAAAAGGGGGGGGGGGGGAGAGAAAAGTTTCCCGATGTCGAAAATCCTATTTCGGGGGGGTTGGGGGGGGGGGGGGGGGGGGTGCCAAATTTTCTTCTATGCCAATTTTCTTCCAGTAACATTTTTTAATACTCTCTCTTACATTATAAAAAGTTGAGGGGCCAACAAACATTTTTAATAAACCTTTCGTATATAGTATGTGATGTTGGGAAAAAAAGTGAGGGACCAGGCCCCCCCCCCTGTTGCTACGTGGCGGGGGAGCGGCTGCTTGAAGAATTTTTACATAAAAAATGTTAATTTGCAACTTCAGAACATTGAATTCTCCAAATGTGGTAAATTATTATTTTTCAGTCAAATTAGAAAGAATTATGAATTACAAGACTACTTAAATTATTCAATAAATAAAGCTATATGTTCTAAATTAACAAAACTGAGAATTTCTGCACATCCTTTAGAAATTGAAGTTGGCAGCTATACAAAGCCTTGTATCCCAAAAGAATCTCGCTTTTGTCACTATTGTAAAACTGTTGTAGAAAGTGAAATACATTTCATATATGACTATCCCTTATAATTTATATAGATTTGCGAAAAAAGTACTGTCCTTTGAACATCTGTAATTTAAACGATAACATATTGAAAGAAAATCATTGTAAAGTATTTTGTAATCCTGACAATGCAGTTCATTCTAGAAGGCTATGTGAATTTTTATATGAATGTTTTGAATTGCGTTCCAAAAATAAAGCGCAATTATAATATATATATTTAATGCATTTATTAGCTCATCACTGTCCATACTATACTGCTTACATAATGATTATGTTTAATCTTCAAGTTATAATACACATCACAGTTGACTTCACTGATCCATACACTTGCATGTATGTATTTTGTTATTTGTCTTTTGTATATAACATGGTTGTATGCCAACATGTTTGGTGAATCAATAAAGAAATTGAATTGAATTGAGTACATCTACACCCACGCCCCCTCGAAAGACAACAAGTAATAAAACATCCACACTAAACTTTAATAATATTTTGTGCTAATAAATAAATAGTTGAATTTTTTTCTATTCATTTCACAAATAAGATAAGACCTGTCCTCCTTCCTTGAAGCAGTCTGACAGTAATGGAGAGATCAAATTTTGCCAGTATTAAGGAAGTTATAAAACGAGAATCAGGATGTGTAAATATGAAGATAACAATTAACACATCGCTCACCTGAGCAATTGGCTAGAAAAAAGCACATATCAGATCAGAACTGAATGAAAGTTAACTGGGGGGGGGGGGGAGGGGGCTTGAATTTTAACCCCCCAGGGGGTCATGATTTGAACAAACTAGAATCTACAATACCTGAGGATGTTTCCTTATAAATATCACTAAGCATGGCTTTGAAGTACTTGAAAAGAAGATTTTAAAAGGTTTCCCTATATATTCCTATTTAAAACTTTTATCGGCCATTTGGTCCCACCCTACCCCCGGGGGTCATGATTTGAACAAATTTGAACAAATTTGAATCTACACTACCTGGGGATGATTCCACAAGAGTTTCATCTTTCCTGTCTCAATGGTTCTTGAGAAGAAGATTTTTCCTATATATTCCTATGTAAAACTTTGATCGGCCATTTTGGCCCCACCCTACCCCCGGGGGTCATGATTTGAACAAACTTGAATCTACACTACCTGAGGATGATTCCATATGAGTTTCATCTTTCCTGGCCAAGTGGTTCTTGAGAAGAAGATTTTTAAAGATTTTTCCTATATATTCCTATGTAAAACTTTGATCGGCCATTTTGGCCCCACCCTACCCCAGGGGGTCATGATTTGAACAAACTTGAATTTACACTACCTGAGGATGATTCCACATGAGTTTCATCTTTCCTGGCCAAGTGGTTTTTGAGTAAAAGATTTTTAAAGATTTTTCCTATATATTCCTATGTAAAACCTTGATCGGCCATTTTGGCCCTACCCTACCCCCGGGGGTCATGATTTGAACAAATTTGAATCTACACTACCTGAGGATGATTCCACATGAGTTTCATCTTTCCTGCCCCAGTGGTTCTTGAGAAGAAGATTTTTTAAAAATGCCATTATTTTTTTCTCTAATTCATAATTATCTCCCCTTGGAAAAGGGCGTGGCCCTTCATTTGAACAAACTTGAATCCCCTTTACCCAAAGATACTTTGTAGCAAGTTTGGTTGAAATTGGCCCAGTGGTTCTTGAGAAGAAGATGAAAATGTGAAAAGTTTACAACAACGACAACGACGACGACGACGACAACGACAGACAACGGACAAATTTTGATCAGAAAAGCTCACTTGAGCCTTTGGCTCAGGTGAGCTAAAAACCAAATTATACTTTTTTTTCTTTTAATTTTTCATGTTTTTATCAAAGATTTTTGATTATTTGCTGTTGATGGTATTTTTAAAAATGCTAGGATGTCGTGCTTTAGTCAGACTGCCGTGCTTGGGCAAATCATACAATCATACATGTATATTTTCGTTTCGCACTGGGTTGATGTGGATGGGGCAGATGGGGTATAGCTGAGTATTGAAGGACAGATCCATCTCCCAACTGGGCAAGTCAACATGGTTAAGGGTTTTTGATCCGCTCCACATAAGGTCAGATATTATTCAGCATGTATTTATTATAAATTTTCTATTCAGACAAAAATGTTGGTATATACAAAATAAAAATACACATATGTATGTAATCTGGGCAGAATAATTACAAAATAGGGATGGACACAAATAAATTTATATTACTATTATAGTATTATATGTATATATAGCAGGCACGTAGCAACAGGGGGGGGGGGGGCAGAGGGAGCGTTCCCCCTCCCCCCCCACTTTTTTCAAGACATTTTACCATTGAAAATCGTTATTGGAAGTCCGGTTGCCCCCCCCCCCCCCACACACTTTTTGTAAGAGCAAGGCTCAAATAAGGGTTATGTTGTATATTGGGAAGGAAATTTTATACGTGGTACTGAAAAGAAGTTGATTTTTTTTACTGGCCCCCCCCCTTCAAAAACGAGCATTACGTCACTGTATAGTATGCATATTAGGAATTAGTATTTACTGTAAAAAAAAAAAAGTTGCTTGCAAAATATAAATTTTTCTATTCAACAAAATTTTGATCTCATCATTTGAATAAGTTTTGAACAATTACTTTATCACTGAAAAATGTATGCAATGGTGAATTTGTTAAAATATGTCTCTTTTCATTTTAATCTGTAACACCATCTTTCACGTAGCCAAGGGTTTCAAGCGTCTATGGTTTGGTAGAAAGCGGGCTTCTTTTACAAGAATCGTCATCCCTTATCATGATACGGGAAGAAATACCTGGAATGCACATATAACATGGTTTTAAAAACATGATAGAAACGCATGAACACCCCCCCCCCCCTTCCCCGCATGTCAGACGTTGTCGTAATGGTCCAATACCTATGATTGTAAAGAGTTTGATTACAAGTGATGAATAATTTGAATTAAGTTTGCTTTTAACTGATTTCAACACACACTGACACACACAATGTTGAAAAATGAAAACGCTTTATACTTTTTCGGAAAGTTCCGAGTTGTTCGTTAACGGTTTTCTCAATTTACCAAAAAAATATATAATGATAAAAGAAATAATGATGATGATAGTTTTTTCATTGAAACAACAAGATAATCTGATCCTAATTAGGAAATTTCATATAAGACCAAAAAATAATATTGATCTCGTTTACCGAGACTTCATCGAGATCGGAGTTGTGACGTCAGAGAAAAAGGTTTGGGAACATCGAGACTGGACTGGTTAGTAATTTTGTTATCTCTCCGCTTTAGTGATTCATACATTTCTGTGTTTAAGTATGAGGTCATGAATTGAAAAGTATTTAAAATTGTTGCATCGATCACCTTTTCATATATTTATTTTCCAACGAGATTATCCCAAACTAGCGTTGCCCAAACACGTAACTTGTAAGCCTAACTAAGAAACCTCTTTGAAATGAAAATATATTTCTTGATTCATTGCATAATTTTTATATATTTTAATAGTTCGTTAATTAAACAGTACTTTGACTAGGATTAAATAATTACATATTCACTATTTCATCCTTACAATGAAGGAAAATGAACCACCTATTTGTATATAAACCATGTGTCGTGATGTGATGAAAAAATAGACATTATGAACACCCTGAAGTGTAACAAAGGACTTTAAGAGAGAGGAAATTAAGAGTATGAACTTTTTCCTCTTTTGTTACAGGTTCATCAATTCCAGCAGAAAAAAATGACCAGTGATTTAGACAGGTAAATTTTATCGGATCTTAAACAAACTTATATTCAATTAACATGATTAAATATTATTTAGAGAACAAGACAGATTCTGTATCGTCGATACAAAATGGGGGGTGGTCGAGTGCCTAGCACGAGTCTCCACCCCCCAATTTGTATCTACGTTACAGAACCTGTCGAGTTCTCCAAATGATTTGTGACACGATCAGTCGAAAATAGTCCCGCCCACTTTATAACTGTGCAGCATCCAAACTTCCGCCAGAGTTCTGTAGATGAGGCCCCGACGGGGAGTACGCACCCGCAGCATATATATTTCCACGGAAAAAGCAAGATTCGGTCAGATCAGTTTTGACAATTTAATGGGGTAGACGTAATCAAGTGATGATCAGTCTTTATGGATAAGGTGGAGGATTTAACCTTTAACTAATTGTTGTGGTCTGTTGTAGATGGAGATTTATCGTTATATATTTCAGGGGACTTAAAATCCCAGTTTAACTGCATGGATTTACAAAATCAGGATACTAGTATATTATTCAGAAAACTCTTCGATG